TTAATTCTTCTTCATCAACTCAGAAGCTGTTTGCTTGGAGACATTTTAAATGAATCCACCTTTATAATCTATTGTAGGATTGGATTGTAGCACCCATTGGTTACTGTCTATTGGTTATAATCCCTGCACCTGATTTGCTCATGAAGCCAATGACAGTAAAAAGTACTATGGAAAGACAATATAGAGTATAAACTATATTATCATTATTCATCTTCTGTAACTTAGATTGTATCTTTAGCTATCATTATTGATTAAATAAGTTGTATTACTTAAGTTTGAGGTGATTCCAGTTTATTTATATAGTGGTTTACATGTACATAAAATAAAATAATGTATTGGAACACGTTAAGGAGAAAAATACATTCAAAATAAAGTAGAATAAAATAAAAAAGTACAATCTCAACACGCCCATGTTTATCTTTATATCTATATGAAAATTGCCTTTATATTTGTATTCAATAAACTTATATTCAACTTATATAACACTATTTTTATTTAATTATATATCATTTATTCTCCCTATGCAGATCTCTATTTCTGTATCTATACATTTAGTGTTTTAAATGTCCAAATATAGCAATGCACAGTCTTCCATCTATCTATTGTTCTTGTGTATATACATATATCTGTATATATCTGGCTCCAATACGTGTATAGACATATACAAATGTGATGTCTCTGCAGGTTCAGAGGTGGTGGACTGGCTGGTGTTCTCGCAGCTGGTTCTGACCCGTGTGGAGGCCATGACGTTGGCCTCGGCCCTGCTGGAGGAGGGTTTCCTGCGGACCATCGGCCTGAAGAGTGTGGAGGCTCTCCGCACCGCCGGCCTCAGTGAGCAGTTCATGGACGACTCCACTGCGCTGTACAGCTTTGTGAGTGCCAGGAAGTCTTGCTGTACTGACCTCCAGCACTTTATTGCTGGATAATGCCAACATACATACAGATTATCAGTGTTATTAATCCACAGCATGTTTAATCCCAGTCTGACAGTTTGAAGAAGAGAGGCAGTGTGAAGGCTGAGACCTCGCTGTCTGCAGTAGAGCTGAGTGGAAAAGTGACAAAGAGGGGATATCTACTGAAACAGGTAAACATACTGTGTTAGCTCTGTGTTAAGATGCTGAAAATAACAACGAATAAATACATAAGATTCAGTACCAATTTCAAATATTTAAAAAGGGTTTATAAGACTTTAATTATCAATTATAAGCCATTATTCTGGAAAAGGGTTGCAGAGGATCTGGACCAGAATCTTTTAATTAACAGCTTATTAACATTTATAACTGTAGGAATGATGGTTTATTACAAAGTAAGAACCCCACTGGTAAATGAACTACCAGCATTTATAAAAGCCTTATTACTGAATAGGAAGGATCAACATCAGCCAAGGAGCTTTTTCACAACCTGGCAACCCATTCTTATTTTTACTCCAACGTACTAATCTTTTATAAACGTTATCTTATTATAAAGTGGTACTATTATATCATATGACTTTTATTCAAACACTTGGCCATTTAAACACAGGGCCACAGAAGGAAGAACTGGAAGGTGCGACTGTTTGTGCTGCGTTCAGAGCCGGCCTTTCTTCACTATTTTGATCCAACAAAGGTGAGTGTTCAACATAGGGCAATAAACTGAAATTAAAATCACTAAAGAAAGTTGATAATTACCTGATAAAACCTTAAAGAAAGTGTGATTCACTTATGGACACATAGCAACATGACCTAAATGTGGCACTGAACACTCTAAAGCAGACCTGGCCCATACAACACAGTTGTTTTGTTTGCCTGTTTCCCTCAGGCCGACTATGACTCTGATGTCATTACTTACAACACTCATAATTCCATTTAATTCATTTACTCAAATCTGAGTCAGTCTATTCCACTTCCTGTCTATGTCACTTGTCAGGATGATATCAGCCCCGTTGGTGGCTTCTCACTGCGAGGCTGTCTGGTGTCTTCTCTGGGCGATAATGGAGTTCCCTCAGGTGAGTCACTGTCTATGTCAGCATAGACTGTACGTAAACAAGCAAATGATTACAAGACAGGACTAGTGTTAAGAAGAAATTGTTTTCGTTTCCTTTTTTTGACTCAGGTTATGTGTCTGGGAGATAACTTTGCCTCCTTATTGAAGAATTTAGAACATTAAATGGTGCGATGAGGTGAATGGAGGATGATTTCACTGATAACGTGCAAACGTAGTCTGTCCATTCTAGATACATGTATACAATGTTCTAGGTTTCTTATTACTCATGAAAAACACCAAGCCTGATATATCTTATTATTGTTGTCCAAACATGTTTCATCCTGCTGCTGTAAATACTCATTAAAGCTCAAAATCTGCTGCTGAGAGTGCACTACTTACTTCTGTTTGTGTAATATTTTCTAACAACTACACTGGACACCAGTTTTAGGGAATCATCTTTTTTTAAATAATGAAGAAAATCATCCACACACTCAAATCTGTGCAAAAATGGTATTCAGAGACAAACAAAAACTGATACCAGATGAGCAGTGTTTTTTTTTTTTATTTCTTCATATTGTTGGTTTTGGTCTTTTTATGAGATTTCTTAATAATAAGAAAAATACACCCAAAATCATCCTTTAAAGCTCAGAGATCATACAGTCACAGACCTGTATTTTGTTCTCCTGATGAAATGTGAGCCATAATTTATTGTATTTAACACTAATGCAAAACAAAAGTTACTTAATGTGTCTTTTGGCTTTTTATATTAAGCTGTAACTACACTTTTCATGATTTAATATGTCAGTCTGTCCATCTAAAGCATCCCTATTGTGTCAATCTCAATGCAATTATACTTTTTATTTGATCCTCCCACACAGGTGTGAAAGGCAACATTCAAGGCAACTTGTTTAAAATCATCACTCAGTCGGACACACATTACTTCATCCAGGCTCCGACCCACCAGGAGAAGATGGACTGGATAGATGCAATCAGAAAGCAGACATAGAGCAGTGGATTGGTTCATTTATCCAGCTGTGAAGAAAACTTTGACTTTACACATTCCATGAATGTTTACTGTAGCAACAAACTGGGAACATGCAATCAGATGAAAGTGTTGATGGATACATTTCTGTTCATTTATCTCAAAAATAATTCTGTATTTTAAAGTTTGTACAATGAGGATTTAAAGGGCTTTAAAAGCCCAACAGTTGTAGCAGTTTCTCTTGTAATCACTCAGTTTTAATGTGTTTTAACAATGTTATCATTATTAAGCATAATCATTATGACTTTATTCTCCACATTAAATGTTTACATCACTCCAGACACCAGTGGTGAAAAGTACATTTAATTTTAAGCAACTTGTGTTTTACTTAAATATTTATTTTATAAGTTTTCTGCTATTTTACACTTGTACTACATTTAAGAAATAAATACTTTACTAACTACTGTTGTAACTCCACTACTTTTATACGACAGCTGTGGTCACTAACTTACAGGTGAATATTTTACCTAAACCAACATGTTACAAACTTGTAAGATATAATAATGAATTGTTAACATTAATTCAGGGGTTCTCAAGCTCTTTGGCTCGTGAACCTTTTACAGAAAAACACTGTGTGGGCTTTTTGTCTTTTCTCAGATGTCTCTGAGATACATTTTCCAGATGGTTTCATTTAAATAATGTCTAAGGCCCAAAGAGGTAAACTGATCCAATATTTATAACAGCTGAGCAAAGTCTTAAAATGAATACACATTTATGTAGTAGAACTTAGTTTTTCCTACTTTCCTCTCCCATTAATCATCCCAGTTTATTCTGGGAGTAACCCAACCCTAAAGTTTGGAACCACTGGACTCAAAAGTGGTTAAATCTAGCTCTGCCATGACCAACTTCAGTAGTAAAATGACACATATGCATCAGTATTAGTAATCTAGATATGTGATATATAATATGTCTTTTTCAAGTATTTTTGCTTTTGATACTTTAAGTACATTTTGGCTGATAATACGTACAGATCTTAAAAAGCATTTAATTTAGTTTCCTCAACAAAGGCCACATAAGATATTCAAAAGTATTGAATTTCAATCACAAAAGTCTTATACAAATATTTTCTTTGCCTTCCATAAGAAGCAGTGTTATGAAATGTACTTGTTCTCCAGCTGTAACTCTGTAAAAAAATCTAATATAATAAAAAAAGAATTCTAGGTCATATTGTCCGTCGTGGTTTTCATCATAGTTTTATACCAGTGTGACCATGAAAAAGCTATTAAATTATGAACAAGAGTTCTAGATGTGCTATGAAGAGGGTCTTAAAGGTCCAGTGTGTAACATTTAGGATGTTTTATTGGCAGAAATGTAATATAATAATCATAGGTATGTTTTCATCAGTGTATAATTACCTGAATATAAGAATTGTGTTTTTGTTACCGCAGAATGAGACATTTCTATTGAGGGAGCGGGTAATCTTCTACAGAGGCCACCATGTTTCTACAGTATCCCGGAATGGACAAACCAAACACTGGCTGTAGATATGGCCTTTTATGGTTTTCAAGAGTTTTGTGGCTGTTGTAGACTGAGCTGTATTCAGCTGTTTGCAATCTGTAACTTAACCGCTACATGCCATCAAATTCTACACACTGGCCCATTAAAAACTCTTAAAGTGAACTTAACTGAACCCTGCAGACACCCTGAGGGGAGTATCTTTGTAGGGTTGCATTTGGTACTTTTACATATGTAGAGGATCTGACATCATGAGGAAGTACAAGTGGAGACAAGAACAACCACAGGAGGTAATAGTCACAATCATCAAGTTTTAGTTCAGGCCCGCGGCTACCAGCAATCAGATGGGCACTCCCAGTCAGCAAGCTGAGTCGAGCCTTTATCTGAATGACTCAATCTGAGCTGGCGTTGGTTTAGAGTCTTGTTCCAGTGAAATCATAAGTGACACAATACCTCAGTCATATATAATAATGTTGAGTGGATTTTGGAGTTAATCCAAGCAGCGGTTACTCAGCCACAAAGTGGAAAACAACAAAACAAATAACAACAAAAGTGATTTATTGCAGGTGAGAAAAGTCAATATGAAACATTCACATAAAAAGTGCTTGTGGTAAAAATCTAAGCACACAAACCTGTGGGCGTTAGAGGCTTTTAAAAAGCTAAAACTGATGATGGTAGAATAACAGAAAGTGTGACATAAATCTAATCCTTCCAGCTTTGTGTTGAATCTGGAGGCAACCTCAAAAGAATGACACATAATGTGTGTATTACTGGCATGCACTAACGCAAGCTATCGTTTTACATTATTACACCTGTTACAGTACTTAGTCGGGCACAGAATGACAATCAATTGATTTCAGGAACATTCATCTTCATGCAGGCGCTCGTAAACGGAAGTGCTTTCAAAGGTTATCTCCAGAGAAATCAAAGACAAACGTCTGAGATCCGAATGTACAAAGTCTGATGCAGCACTTCGTGACGCATCGTGTTTGTACAAATGTTCCTTACGGGAAAATATTATAGCTTAGACCACATTTGCTTAATTCACTTCAAATCACATTCTCCAGTTTATTTAAGACAATGATGACTGTTACATTCAGTCATTATCTTCAAGTCTCCAAATAGGTAATCTAGTGAAGGCACTTTGTCTTAGCACGTCATTACGAGGCAGGCGTAACTTTATTTGGACACCCCCACTATGGGTTCATTTATTCACTCAAAAAGTAGCTCTATTCTAATCTTATGTTTTGAATACTGTCCCAGAACGTCCCTAATGTATGCTTCTTTCTACTCGCTGGTGTTAGGCCACCTTGGTGAGCTGTAGATCTCCAAAGACTCGTAAGGCAGTGAGGGAGGCAAGCGGAGAGAGCCGGTGGGTGAATCCACACAGAGGCTGTCCGTCCACCAAGATACGAAACTGTTGGTGCTCACAAACTATCTCCATCTGAATGTCAGAGGGGAGGTAGAGGAGGAGAGGGTCAGGTTTTTTATATTCAAAGCTTTATGTGAGAACACACATTGTTAAACAGAGAAGACTGTCCTGTTCATACTAACTGAGAAGTCACAGATTTGCCTGATTTAGGCATCAAATATTTAGACACTTAAGGTTGAAAAATGCTCTTACTATGAGAGATGTGTTCCAACATTAACACACCATTTTCTGTCAAAGTCAAATAACAGTTATAGTTATTTGACTTGAGAGATTTCTGTCTTGTTTCACTTTACTTTAAAACAGGTGGTAACATAAACAATAACTATATACCAACATACAAACACACTACATGCAGATAATAATTAAATGACATAATTAAGGTAAATGCATATATTATAAGTAAATAAAAATGAAATAAATAAAAAATCCCCATGCTGGGTCTAGAGGAGGGCATAGGGTGGCAGCTGCTGACTTTGGTGTCAAATGCTGTCAAATTTAACACATTAATTTAGAATAATTTAAAAAATAATGCGTTAAAAAACTGAAATTACACACAGATTTCAGGAACAGGTTCAATGACAGAAGACAACAACAGTAATGTATTGATTTCTAATGATATTTCTATTCAATAATTCAATAATGTGCCACAATAATGTAATGTTTCTGAGTTACAATATCTTAATTTGGAGGCTTTTCAAAAAAGTAAAAAATACTGATATAAGTGATTGTTTGTGATTAAATCAGCATATATTTCTGCAACCTCTTGCCAACCAAAAGTAAAAAGAACTGCAGCAATTCTCCAGTAAATTTTTTTTTTAAATTTTAAACTCATCGAAAGATCAGATACTAATCAACTTTGCTTTCGTCCATAACGATCAATTCTCCCTGTTAGTCACTCTGCGTTAGTGTCACCTCCCCACATACAGTCAGAGATTATACGTGTACCTTGAAGGATTCTCCTGGTGCAAAAGGAAAGAAAGAGAGGGTAGTTTCAGCTCGACCCCACTTTCCAGCCAGGCGGGCGTTACGTTGGACGGCCTTATCCGTGAAGTTGACCTTTAACTGAAGTCCCACGTCGCCCTCTGTGTCCTCCTCCTGAGGCTTACTGGACACAATCACCTCAATGCTGTTCAAACACACGAGAGATCAGGGAAAACACCAAAGTGCTGCAAAATACAACATTTATAAAAAAACTGAAGTGCAGTGGTGTATTTTCTTCATCTCTTTCCACTTCATATTTTTACGCCACTACATTTTAGAAGGAAGTATTGTTTTTCTTACATCACTATAACTATTTAGCAGCTGTAGTTACTTTTCAAATCAAGATTTTTGCACATAAAAGACATGAAAATGTGCGAATAAACCAGTAACTTGGTTTATAAATGTGATTCTTTAGAGAACAGTGACATCTTCTGGTCTTTATCACAACTGTAATGTAGTAATAAAGTACTTAATGAAGAAGACTGAATAACAAATTATGTAGATAATTGATCATTCATTTAAGCACTTTGATCAAGAGAGCAAGAAGCCTGAATAATAAATAATGTATGGAAGGCACATTGGCTTATTCCTGCAGGATAATTTAGAAGACTGATCATTTTTGTACCAACTTTTTAGTGGTGGAAAATAACTACATTTACTGAAATACTGTATTTAAGATATTTTACTTTAGTATTTTCACTTAGTTTAGTTTACACTTGTACTCCATTACATTTCAGAGGGGAATATTGCACTTGTTACTCACTACATTTAGTTACTTTGCAAATTAATATCTTTTAACAGACAAAACATATGATCAGTTTATAGAATATTATGCACTGCTATACAATAAACTATCCAAAATCATATAAAGTAGTTAAAATTAGCTCAGTGTCAGTAATAAGGAGGTAAAATAATACTGCAGGGACGATACTGAGTATGTTTACTTTTGATACTTTAAGTACATTTACTTCCATTACTTCTGCACTTTCACTTAAGAAACAGAGTATTTTTACAATGTAGTATTACTACTTTTACTAAAGTCAATTGTTTGAATACTTTTGTTTACACTGATTATGTCCACACTTTACTGTATTACAAAGTTAAAACGTTATAAACAAACTTCTGTACAAACCTTTAATTTTGCAGAGATTTTGTAACTAAACAGTTTTTGATCATTTACATTTTATTTGAACCCAATCTGACAACCAAGATGACAAAGAACATGTTTCTGGCAGCAGCTTTTTGTTAATTAATGACATGACTCTTATTATCACAGCTGCTTTACAGCTCTAAAATAACTACAGTCATGTTATATTCAGTGTCTAGCAAAAAGGTCCTTTGAGAGCATTTGTCCTTAAAAACCCTCCTAATGTTTCAGCAGCTAAAAATAAATGTCTTGACATAAAAAAAGAAGTTTATTTTTGTTTGGAGCCTAATTGCCATCTCTTACTGACGACTGAATGAATGTGATGTTATCAACCGAAGAAATTCCAGTATGACTCTTCAGATTTCATGGGATTTGCAGCTCTCCCACGCACAATCGCAGACTAACCTATAATTAGGAAACGCACTGGCCTTAAAAAGATATTTTGGCACTGCATATGCACTCAAAACGCAGACAACAGCTGCCTATCTGCTTTTAAAAAAAATCAGTTTTATGACAGTCCAGTGCATTTTTTATCACTAACTCTAATTGGCTGCCACGTCACATGTGCAACAGTAGCTATATCAATAATGTATGACTCGCTTTTTAAATAATAATAAAAAAAAACAGGTGCTTGCACTAACCTCTTGGGTTTTTTGTTAATAATTCCCATAACGACCAGTTTCATTGAAGGCCGCAGCCCCCCCTTTATCTCTCCGATATACTCCCCCTGTGAAACAATAGAGATGTTTAAACGTACAGATCAGGATGAGGCCTAACCGTTAAAACAGCACACTTTCTGTATCACTGGAGGAGCAGGTTCCTCCATCGTGCAGCCTGCTGGAGCCTGAGTGCGCGGTGAGCTGCCACCTATGGCACCGATGGGAACAATAGCTTTATTGATCCACGTTTTCTTTTCTTTTTTTAAAACAATCAGTGACTCAGCTGGACACACAAAAACTATGCTTCTGTGTATTCGCCACTGCCGGAGTGAAAGAAAACATCTCCACAATCATAATTTCCTGCAGGAATGTTGCGATACATGCCGCGAAAAAGCAACCAAAGCTTTACATACATGTTCTTTCTTGTCCTTTTCTTCCATTCCACTCAGGGCGTGATGCAGTGTGGAGGTTTTTCGAGCTGTGATGCCAACGGAGGACTGATTGACTCTGCCTCCAGCTGGCAGACCCCGCCTGTACTACGTTGTCATAGAGACAGGCTCCCAATTTGGCAGTGGGGATGGTGGGAGACAGACAGAGGGAGAGAGAGAGGGAGACAAGGGGGGATGTATTAAAAACTGAATGTCAGTTGAATCCTGATAATGTGGGTGAAACGTTGGTTAAATATTGAGTAATTAGTATTAGTAAAGTAAATTGTGTGTTCTTCCCCTTCTACCTGATGATGCCTTCACTGGTCTATCTGACGTCCAGTTTTGGGCTAGTTACTCCAAAAATGGAATTTATTACTCGTTTCTAATGCAATTTTAATACTTTACTTATTACTCCCTGCCAAGAGTAATTAGTTACACTACTAGCTATATTAGTTTTCTGCTACTACCCAAAAAATTGGCTTATGATTCAGGCTTATGATGATTTAAATCCAGTTTTGTTTGTTAAAATCAAAGTAATGTGAATACTTCCAGCTGCTGAATGTTTCCATCCTCCACGATTACAAAAATTAATCCAAGGATTGTTGGATTTCAAATCAGTAGGGGGTTGACAGCAAAAGTAAGGTTGCAACTAATTATTTTACCTGTAATATTATTACTAAAATGTATTAGTAATTAATTAAACTACTAGTTACAGGGAAAAGTCATATTATTACTAGTAATGAGTTACTGCCCAACACTGATGACATCTCAAAATATACATACCAAGTAAAATACTGCGATAAATACATATACATTGAAAGAAAATAACTCCTCCTCTCATTAGACTATCTTATTTTTTGTTCTCTCAACCTGTTTAATAATATTTCCTCATTCCAATAGAGGGGAAATTAAAATTTTCTCTTTTGCAGCAACAGGGTTCAGTTAAATCAAGCACAGTCAATGCCTTGATCATGTGTACTTAAACTCTTGCTAGAAGAGGAGGTTATATTGTGGTTATGTGGTTATTGTGAATTGTTATATGAAGCATATTAAAGCACTTTATTCCACCTGTATTTTCTGAAGTCAAGATTACCAGCAATGACAAAACAATCTCAACTGAAGGTCCACTTGCTGTCTTCTTCCTGAGGCTTTCGACTGCATCACGTGGTCCACATCAACAGATTGAGTTTGCTAGGTTGCCACGGTAACTGTGGTAACTGAGCCTCGGGACTTCTCATTCATGTTTAGACTAAAAATGTAAGTCAGTCAACATGGGTGTGAGTCATGCAGTGTTTGAACATCTACGGCTCCATGGCAACTGAGCAAACTCAGTGTGCTGGTGAGTGCTGTGTAGTGCAGTGGTTCTCAATCTGGGGGTCCGGACCCCCACTAGGGGTCGCAAAAGCTTCGCGGGGGGTCGCAAGGCCTTCTTGATTTTAAGGGTGGTGTGAGAAAACTTTAAAAATACACACAGTAGGCCTATATTTTTATTAGTTAGTTCACATCTGTGAAAAAAAATTATTTTAAAGTAAAGTAAATTGTCTAATAGAACAATAGCCAAGAGTCAGGGAGAAATAATTGTATAAAAAGTTCCCTAAACAGGAACAAATCTGCTCAAAATTCACCCAAATCACTCGTTTTACACAAAAGTCTCGCAGTCACTAAGTTCAGTATTTGGGTTCATTGAACTGTTTTGAATACAACATGAAATATCCATAAAATATGTCACTTAAACAGGAGTTATCAGCTTACTAAATGACAGAAAAGGGTTGGGAACCTCTGACGTAATGCAGCAGAGAGCTCCAGAACAAGTACATTAAAATTTAACTGCAAATTCACAAATTAACTCAACTTCTACAACCACCCTATTTCTTTACACACACTCCTGCATACAGACACAGAAAATCAAAAAAAAACATACTCTAAGTTAGGTTCGACTTTTTGTTTTGAAGTCCTGTATTTCCGACAGCACTTGAAGGCAGCCAGCGGGCGGGGAATCAGCTGATTGTGTCACATGACCTTTGTTAACACGCACAGGCAAGAGTAAGCAGTAGCTAGGAGTGTATATAAATAAACCCCCCCAGTTTCGGGGGTAAACACCACAAAGAAATGAGTAAGTAACTCCACAACATCCTCTCTAACCTCTAAACGCGTTAGGATACAATGTGCTCGCTGTTACGGAAGTTAGTTAACTTAAAAGTCTGAGCTACAGCCAGTCAGCAACGTTTTCAGCTAATGCTAACGCTCATAGTGACATAATGGTAAGTGTCAAAGCTGAACATGGAGACATTTAATAAAAGGCTTGTTTAAAGGCGCTTTTAGTCTCCCAGAATGGACACAGCAGCTCACTGGACGGTTGTGTTGATTCATTCAAGTAAAGGTACAGATGATGGAGTTAAATTGTTGCACAACGTTTCACCTCTGTAGTGAGGTACAGATGTTATCTCTGAGTGGGTCATTAAAGAAAATACAGCTGCGATGAGTTCATCATTATTGCTCATCGTGTCGCAAATTTACAGAGCACACTTCTAATGAGTGACAGTGGAATTGAAAGTGTGTGTGATT